TTATCAGGAACACATTCTAGGATCCTCTGTTTAATTCAGTGAGAGTTCTGTGAAATTGAATTTATAGGTCAACAAGAACACTTTGATGACATACAGAATAGCACCGAGGACACTACTCAAAATAACAGTCTTATCCCATTATCCAATATAAGGATAAATATTAACCTAGGAAGCTGAGAGACATGCCCCTGGATTCGTGATCAGCACATTTCACATTACCTGTGTCTTTCAGGTAGATTCAAGTATCACCACCTGTCACATTATATAAAATCAACATGGATTAAAGTCTCCAGCGTTGAGAATAAATGTCATCATTTTGCTCCAGGTTTTATCTACCAGTTAGGAAACCTGTCTTTTGGGGACGCTGTTGATGTCACTTGTTACCTGCACAGTTACGGAGATAATAGTGTCAGGAACCTATGAGGACAACAAACTGAGTTTGTTCTGGGAACTTCCCTCCAAGAGCCCCTTAGATACTGTGCTCTGAGAAATGCCAAGCCCCAAGTAATGGCTCCTCGTGGCCTCTAGCCCAGAACAACCCTTTGCTCACTAAAGGCACAGCACCTCCTAGAATCTATGGGTGTGAAGTACAGGAATGAGAAGTAAAAATATACATGTATTGAACCCCCTATTGTCTTCCAGAAGTCATGTAAAGCAAATCATATGAAAATCATTACAATTTTTAATATCTCCCCTCAAGGTCTCTTTACTTGGGAATAAAGGATGTGAGAAAGATTCAATAACAAGCTGATTCCAATAAGAGTAATAATAATATCTATGGTGAAAGCAGGTAAAACACATGTATCTAGAAAAAACAACTGTAGGAAAATACACCAGATGCCGATAGTGATTGGGTCAAGGTTGTGTTTCATGAGTAATTTTTAATTCTTTTCTGCTTTGTATTTTTTCTATCTTCCATTATGTATAATGTGGTCAAATATTAAAATGGCAGTTTAAGCCATAAAGAGATATTACAATGTGGTGATATATGTTGATTTGCCAAATTAACAGTAGAGGAGAGAAAGACCATTTACAGCTGGGACAGTCAAAGATGATTTGGTGAAAATGCATGCAGAGATCAAGCCAAATATTGAAGGGCTGGAAAGACACAAGCTGATTCTATTGGCTTTATAAATCTATTCTTTTTGCTGATCTTTATACTTTTGCTCATTTCTTGTTAATGAACTTTTATTTGTAAAAATAAATAAGCAAATAAAAGGGACTGTGCATTTATGATCATATACTGATTAGTATTAGCATACTAATAATACACTCATAATGTGTAATGACCATAACTTAGGAGGGGGAGGTAGGAGAGACAAAGGAGACCAAGATACCATTTCCTTCAAAAGAGCTCTAGTGCATTGAGAAAGACAGGGACAGGAGATGAATGACGTCTGGGGATATGCCTTATTAAGTCGTTCAAGACTGAGCAAGAGAAGTCTGGCACAGCATGGCAGGTCAGGCAGACATGCTAAAGTGTTTGAACTTAATCTTAGCTAATACACACTTATCAGAGTTTTTTAAGCAGAGCAGTATTATAATGAATTCAGATCTGCTTTTCTTCCTCCAAATGGTTTAAAATCAAGTAGTGCTTTGAAACTGAATTCAAAGATACCGTGTTTTCTTTCTAATGTGGAGTCATGTATTCTTTAATTTAAGCGGTCTCCTTCATAATTCTCATTGCCTTTAATATTAAACATGAGATAGTGTATTAACTTTTTGAGATGTGATGTCAGTGGGAATCACATTTAACATGCCTCATGTCACATGTATATTTTGCAGTCACCATGGGATGTTTAATTTGGCCAGATTCCTTACTGAAGCTGTATGGTATCTTATATGTTCTCATTAAAAAACTCCTTGATCAACCACATTTGGGGCTTATTTTTGCTAAAGGCACATTCTTGTTATACTCTAATAGGCTTTCTCTTTTACTTAAAGAAAACTCCTAATATAAAGAATCAAATTTTAAACACTTATGGGCTACATTTCAGCCCAAGATCCCTGTTAGAGGGAGCACATATTTAGAGGAAGCAGTTGGATGTGGACAGGTGAACACCATGGTCAAATCAGAGGAGGTTTGGGGACAAGAAACTAGCCGTCTTATCAGCAGAAAATAACCAGAGCAATAGCCATGGTTCACTGAGGCTTCTAGAAACCTAGACAATTTAGCACCCACTGGCACTTCCCTTGAAGGTGGGTGGCTGCAGAGCTTTGTTTCCTTGGAAACATGACTTATTGAGCTCTAAAATGACACAATTCATTTTCAGATATAAGACCAGAGATTATAAATTGAAGTACTGACCAATCCAATGAACTCATGCCAGGGAAGCTCAAATTTCACTTTATTACCACTTAGGCACATTAATTCCCACTACATTTCTTAGAAGGGAATAACATAAAATGTATCACTCTTGAATTCTGAGTGATGGGTAGTCAGGTATTTGTTCTATCTAACTATTTTCTATATTTCTAAAATTTCTAAAAATTTTTATATAAGAGATAGGGGAAAATTAGGCTAAATCTGTGAATGTATATCATACCTAATCATATTAGATTTTATTTTAATTATATTTTAGAAAATATGTCACTGTTGGGAAAAATATATTTAAGTAAAAAAATCATTATAATAATGTAACTTCTGTTGAGTATGATGAACATAATTTTATAAAGAAAGCATATTTGAATAAATTTAAAAGGCAGTAGAAAGAGATTTGTTGGTGACTGTCAGGAGCCAGTCTTCAATAAAAACTGTGGTGGAACAAGAGCATTTGGAGATCATTATGTTTTAGATTATTTATTCTAGGCTGTTGAGAGTGATTCTGAATCACCAATTCAGTCTTGTCCTCTGATCAGATATTTCCACAGTAATTAGTTGGGTTGACCATTGAAAGGTTATTTTATTAAATGAGGAGTGAGTCCTAAATTGAGGTTGGCAGAAATAAAAGTACCAGAGAGCAGATCTTATTTCCATAATAATATTGCCTCCTTATGAAGAAAAGGAACCTTAGGGAGTTAGGGGTCTTAATTATCCCATCATAGTCTATTCCACTTAATTTGGCAGTTACTACGAGAGTGGGAGATACCAGCTTATGTAGAACTTTCCCTAGGCATTAAAGAAGAATCAGATATTAAATTTGCCATCAAGAAACACAAGGTTCTTTAGAGTTTCCTCCTTCGAAAGCCTCAATTCTAGTGTCAGTTGTCACTTCCTTGGCAGAAAAGAATGGTAGAGAAGGTAGTTCTGATCCCAGCCCCCTCCTCATAAGGAGAGCCAGGGGCACCTACACAGACACTTCTTCCAAGGGCTGGTTAGTAGGCCAATCCACAGCCGGAAGAGCCCCAAGGCTGCAGGTTGTTAGGTTAAATAACCAGTGGAGTAGGAAAAGAGCATGAAATTATTGTGATGCTTGCTTGCAAGTCACAGGCAGGTTCTGAGAACTCTTCTTGACCAATGGTATAGTTATGCTCAGGATCCTTCGTGAACTTACTCAGAATCAGTTCCCATTTAGGCTGCTTTTCCCTGACAGAGTAGAATAGGTTTGGCTACTTAGTGGAGCCAGGTGAATGGGCAGGGAGACCTGTGAGTGGTTTCTAATCATCCTATGAATGAATTTTACTCCTCTGCCTATTCAGATGGTTACCTCTAAGAGGAAAGTGTAGGAGTAAAATAACCAGTACATCAAAGAGTAGAAGAGATGCATGAATGAAGGTCTCTTTTAAGAGACTGGCTCATGGGAGGGGTTTGGGCCTCTACAGATTTTGGGTGCCCTCATTTGTCACATCTTCTATTTGCCTCTTGTAGTTTGTTCTAGTTAGAATTTCCTACCTGAAATTAAGACCACATTCAGCCTTTTATATCTTGCTCTTGAAGTGAGACAATATTTATAGGGTTTTTTTTAAACAAATTTTTTTGCTACATATTTATAATGTAGTTATTATTCTATAGCTCAGACTTTATATAACATCTGTATTCTCGAACTAGTTTGCATAGGTAAAACTGGGGGAACTGAATGTTGTAAATGTATTAATGTAACTTGATATTTAAATTAGAGCCACATGGATTGTTTTGTAAAGCTAATAATTATTTTTCATTTGTCTGTTTTGTGCTATTGGTGTTTTAAATATGTGGTCTACTCAAAACAAGAAAATAATCTGTGCTTTTTTAATGTTAAAAGCTATGTAGCATCTCATTTATCATTGCTCTTGATACACTATAACTCATACAAATCATATTTGTATTTTGAAAAAATGTTTACATTTCAAATCAAGAAAAATCAAAACCTAAGAAATTGGAAAAAGAAATGTAAATTTTATCAACAGGAAATTGTGTTCTGCCCTCATGGGGAAACTCAATTAAAATCATATGAAATTGCACAAAATATGATTTATACTTTAACTGATAAATCCTGGTTCCAGGAAACTACACACAGCCATTACCAAAAATGAAACAAAATCACAGTGATAATAGAAACGCTTTAGTATACAGGTAATGTTCTTTTTGCCACTACTGCAGAATGCAAAATGCCTCTAGTTACCACCCATTCTTTCTTTTTTTAACTCTCATCTGAGGATATATTTTTTTCATTGCTTTTCAGAAAGAGTGGAAGGGAGAAAGAAAGAGAAACATCGATGTGAGAGAGACACATTGATTGGTTGCCTCTTACACATGCCCCGACCTACGCCAGGGATCAAACCTGCCATGGAGGTACATGCCCTTGGCCAGAATCGAACCCAGGACCCTTCAGTCCGTGGGCCGATGCTCTAACCAAACAGGCTAGGGCACTACCATTCTTTAAAATACATCTCCATGTTATAAAAAGCAACTTTTAAAAGCTGGATAATTCAATAATTATACTAAAAATTATATTTTTAGGCCTTGTCTTTCCTTTAAAGGAAAATTTGATATATTTTTCAGTTATGTTTCAACCTGAACAAAATCCAAATCAGATTTTGAAGCAACCATTTTTCATCTAATCAACAATTTGGGAGCTTACCAGACTCATGAGAGATTGTCTTCACAGTGAGAAGCTTCACACTCTCTTTGTCGGACTGAGGTCTATTTGGAACAGAAAACATTCAATTAGCACCACACTAATTAGCACTGTATGTCTGTGATAGAAAGTAAACATTATATACACATAATGAAGAAGACACAAGCATATATATTTTATGTGTTTCTGTGGCAAAACCTATGTCTCTTCACATACAGACACACACATAGTTTTATAGCACTTTCCACTCTGGAATCAAGCCAATAAATCTCCATCATTCTGTTACAGCAATGATCATCTGATAAACTAAACATCGAGATGGGCCATGTGAAACACTTGTCCCAGGTCTATATGGTACATGTCTTCCGTCTTGAATTATGAAGGGGAAAACATAGAAATGTTTCCAAACATTTGGGGCTAATGCCGAGTTCTAGGCATACCCCTTTTTAAGAGGTCCTGGATACTGCAGTCTAGTGCCTGGACTATTTTAACCGAGAGTTCCCACCTATTCTTTCTCAGATTCTAAATGGTTTAAAACCCCTGTTCTTTTTACATGGACAACTCAAGAGCCTTTATTTCAAATTAAGAAGGACAGGTGATCTACAGATATTATTTCTAAAGTTCATAGCCTGAGGAACATATAAAAACACCTATATAAAGCAGGGTACAAATTCAGGTCAACAGAGAAAACTTAACCACAGAATTGGTTTTTGACATTAAAACAATTTGACCCTTGATAGCACCTTGATTGCAACAGTTGGCTGGATTGGTAAGAACTGCTTTGCTTGTTTCTAAAAAGTCAAAGCAGAACACACATCTACTGTTAATAAAGCCACTCAGAGCTGTCTCAAGTTGTGGGCATGATTTTTTTCTAATTGTGAGACACATAATGAAAAATTCACTGGGAAACTGTTTTAAAACTCTAGGTATGTCTTTTCTTTTCTTTTTTCTTTTCTTTTCTTTTTAAATGGGGGGGGGAAGCCTCATATATATATTTTTAATATATCTTTATTGATTTCAGTGAGAGGGAGAGAGAGAGAGAGAAACATCAATGATGAGAGAGTTGTCAATGATCTGCTGCCTCCTGCACACCTCTGACTGGGGATCGAGCCTGTAACCCGGGCATGTGCCCTGCCCAGGAATAGAATTGTGATCTCCTGGATCCTAGGTCGATTCTCAACCGCTGAGCCATGCCTGGCTGGGCTAGGTATGTTTTGTATTATATTTATTCTTGTAGCTACATTCATTCTTCTGTTTTTGCATTTTATCTTTTGATTTTCCATTTTAACACTTTATTCAAGTTTAAGAACAGTCCTCTTTTAGTTGTTGAAATTTCTCTGTTGAAAAAACAGAGCTCTGACAAAGTTCATTTACAATACTTTCTACACAAATTCTTTCAAAATACAAACAAAAGTGTAATTAGAGGATCATTACTTTTCCTTATGTAAATGATACAGACAGAGTTTCTAGGGGAAAAAAATGATGTAGCCTTACTTACTGGTCATTTCCATTCTCTGGTGTGCCTAGAAGAGGAGAGAACTGTTGTTAGAGTTGTAAGAAGCTTGGCTACAAAAAACCCCTGAGATCCCTGCCATTTTCAGTGCAAAGATATTTCTAAAGCCAATTTTAAACTTTTTAAACCTCTCTGCTCCCTGACTCATTGATCATTTTCTCAGATATGGGTACCATTCATCCCTCAGGTATGGCTAATACATTCAAGGGATAGTCCTAAGTAGGCCAGCTTCACTGACCTTAACTCGGAGCTAAGTCTTATATCACTACATAAAACTACTATTTGTTATCACCCTTTCCAAAAACACCAGAAAATGTCTCTGTTTATTTCAGTACCTCTGAAAAAAATTCTCCTCAAAGTACTGAATTACCTTTTTAGACCACAGAATTGAATTTCTGACATTACTTTATTCTTTGCTCTTTCTGGGGACACAAATCACTGTATTTGTGGTGAACTACGATACTGCTTCTAATTGCATCTGAATCACACTGATTCATTCTCTCTAAAGTGCCCTGCAGCATGTCACTGAGGCTACTAACGCCAACTAATTTCTTCTATGCTTTGCCAGGCTGCTCAGCAGGGTCTGGTAGAAAACAAGCTGGGCTTAGCGTGCGAACTCAGGTGATTCGTTCTGCACAAGAGCATGGCCTCCGGAAGCAACGGTGGTAAAACCTGGCATTAACTGTGGCCTATTAGGCAAACAATGTAATGTAATCCCTTAAGGATCCCTTGTTTTGTTCCCTTTTTTCCTGTGGTTTCATTCCATTGCTACTCAGTTTCTGTTTCTTAGATTTCCTTCTATCTCTAATCTAGCTCTTGTCATGGGATATAAGAAAGCCCTTTAAATATAATTCTGGCTTTGAGCATCATTGTTTTATAAAGACCTTGATTTCCACTAATATTTTGGCTACTTCTACTTCACCTTGGCTAAGATACACCACCACGATTCTTAATCCCTACAATTTAATTTGTGGTACCATGTGCTGTTCACCAAGTAGATCTAACCTTGTCTTCCCTACCATCAGAAGGGTTTAACAGCACTTTAAAATTCCTATTGTAACCACTCTATATGATATCAGCTGTGATGCTCACAGCCTTGTTCCAACATGAGTTGATACTTTCTGTATGCCTGTTTTAATATTTTTCCTTAATACTATAATATAGAATACTGTAATATGAGTTTATTACCAGATAGACACATACCAACAGATTACTTTTGGCATATATGCTGTTCTTATTTGGGTTAAAACTCAGACTACTGTCAACATTATCCAGATGAGCTCAATTTCATACTGAAATCTCTGATTCATGTTGTCTTCCAGTGAGCAGAGTGGGTTTACTAATTTTCTGAACTTAATGAAGTCTCACCCACATATTGAAGAGTGATTGCTGCGGATGTTTAATGGTGCTAATTTAATGATAGCAATGCAATAAATTCTGTTTGGCAAACACAGTTAATGGCAACCAAATAGATTCAGCTAATTGTACAATTGCCAAACTTGGTTATAAAGTATTGTATGCCTTCAGAATAACTCTACATAGTGGTATGAATTTTAAACATTTTTCCCCTGAATGATTCAATTCATCCACAGACTCTTCTTTCATAGCAAATGTCAACTTTTCAGATAACTTATTTGTAAATCTTCCCATGCAAAGCAGTTTTTCAGTAAAGGGTATTTTTACAAAATGGATTTAGGACACTAATTTTTTCCCCCTCTGCTATGTACTCAACACCCACAAGCTTCAACTTGGATGGTTGCTTTCCCACATGAAAGATAGTATTGGGGGTTTAGAAACTTAAAGAAATTAAACTGATTTATAAAAATGCTATTTCTCCTCTGAAACTAAGAAAATATGTTTTAGACATTATTAAGAAGTTTACTCACTAACTCCCAAAGGGAAAGTGATTGATTTGTTTCCTCTTATTTTCCACCAAGGGCTAAAATGAACACTATTGTGTTTTGGCTTTTTTCTGTAACTTCTCCTTACACTGTCATGCTCTTGCACCAAGCTGTCGGTGCAGTGCTGGTTAGAGACTGGCTCAGGAACAGCATGCATTAGTATCCTGGGGGCACACTGTCTATGGGTAAACAAAGAACAGTGTAGCTTATATATCTTATAAAAATGGATTTTTGCTTTTTAACAGTATTTGAGGCTTAGGTAGAGTTCTGTTAGTGAAATATTTAGAAATAAAGTGAGGAAAGGCAAGGTTCTATTTTATTGAAAATTTAAAAATGTAACTCAACAAACGTATAGTAGGTTCTGTTATGTATTATGCACAATGCACTGTGCACAATACATGGTGTGTGCCTGAAGAGGTTGCCTAATGTTATGGACTGAATGCTTGTGTTCCCCTAAAATTCATAGGTTAAATCTTAATGCCCAATATAATGGTATTAAGATGCTGGGCCTTTGGAAGTTGAATAGGTCCTGAGGGCTGAGTCCTCATGGGATTAGTGCCCTTATAAAAAGACCACAGAGAACTCTCTTGTTCTTTCTACTATGTGAAGACACAGTGAGAAGGTGGCCATGTATAAACTAGGAAGAGTACGTTCACCAGACACCCAACCTGGCACCTTGATTGGACTTCTCAGCCTCCAGAACTGTGAGAAATAAATGTTGTCTCTTTAAGCCACACAGTCTATGTTACTGTTATAGCACCCTGAATAGACTATGGGGAAATCGGTACATAGAGAAGTAACTGTACTATAATATGGTGCATGTCATAAAATTCTATGGAATTTAAAGCGAGAACACTCCATTCTGCTTAAAGAGATGGTGTGTTATACAAAGATGCATTAAATTGGTGTTTGAGCTAGATGCTAATGGAGAAATTGGAGGTTGGGTATGTTATAACAGTTAAGTGGTGGACTGGACATTCTAGAACAAGGAATAGCATGGACAAAGGCACAGGTACATAACACTATGTGACACAAGCAGGACAGGGGTTGGGAATGGAAAGATAGATTAATGTTTCAGATAACAGAGGAGAGTGTGAGCCATGGGAATTGAAGGGATTCAGATGAAGCTTTGAATAAAAAAGGCTAATTTGCCGGAACAGAAAAAGACAATAAGACTGGAAGAAATCTGAAAAAGTGGGGACCTTAGTTAATAATAATGTATCAACCAATAGTAGTTAATTCATTGTGACAAACATATCATATTAATAAAAGAAATAACAGCTATGGAGTATATGGCAACTCTTTGTAATTATCTCTGCAACATTTCTGTGAATGTAAATCTATTTTAAAATAAAACATTTATTTAAAAAAAGCATAAAAAAGATAATGACATTACAGGATTGTAAGTATTTCAGCAGCAGGGAGAAGATAAAACATCAAAAAGAAGAAAACAAAGAGTGAAGATGTTTAAAAGAGAGCAGTGTCATTTTAAACAAAAGGAGAAAGACTTCTAAATGCTACTGGAGAGGTTAAGATGGATAATAAAAAGTTCCAAACTAGAATTCCACTAAAAATTGCACTAATCTTCAATCCTGAGAAGCCAATTCAATTAGCAGAACACACAGTCCTGAAGGGAGACACCTTCATGGGAAGGAAGCTGTGCCTCCCAGGGGGGAAGTGAGTCACAGAACACTCTTCTTGAGATTATGGGCCCCAAAACTAAATTCTTAGCAAGGCTTCCATTTAGCCTCTGTTACGTGGGAAAAAAACAGACCTTCACTACAGAGAAGGCACATCATTTTATGCCTTCTGGACTACCACATTCCCCCCACCACCCCCAAAACTAGGATTGCTTCATTAAAAAGTATTTGTTCACATTCAAAATTATTGGCCAATAATAGTTAAGCCCTATTTCTTACATTCACCAGCATCCCATGGGTTTCTCTGTCCCTTCCCCTCTCTTTCTGTGATCAGGCAATATGGCCTTTTCTTTCTTTCTATAATTCCTCTCTCCCCTGAAGACTTTAAATTTAAGTTTAGGTCTAGCATGAGCATTCTCCTTTCAGGAATCAAAATGGAACAAAACACGGTTACCCACCTGGGTCTGTCTTCCTGCACAGTCGATACAAACCCACCAGAGCAAATACTGATAGTGTTATTACAATCAAAGCAATAACCACAGGCAAAATAATACCTAAAAAGTATCAAAGACATTGTCAGTTAGAGTGGCAACTGAATTTCACAATAAATAGTTTAAGAACTGAGCAAAAGCATCCATGTTTTCTTTCTTCTTTAAACATCATTCTATTTAAAATATTGTATTTTTAAGCAAAGATCTATCTGATTCATAGGTTTTGCTTTAGTTGTCGTTTCTGACGCATCCACTTGATGTCAGTCTTGTAGCCTTTCTGAAATAAAATTTCAAACCAAAGGGAGAGAGTTCCCCCCTTTCCTGGAGACTGAAGGACGGAGGAGGTGGGAGACAATGGGCAGATGATGTCCTCTAGATGTGCAGGCAGACCCACATTCACACGTTATACCCTTTACTACTCTATAGTGAAGTGATTGGAAAAGAAAACCACAGATACCGGAACTACTCTAGTTATAAAGCTGGCATTCTAAAAAACTCACAAATATCTTTCCATAACAATATTTTAGAACTAGAAAAGGCATAAAATAACATAAATGGATATAGTTGGATAATACGGTGCATATTATTCTAAACATGCACAAATGGTTCAAGAATAATATGCATGTGTGTGTGTGCAGGTGCATATATGTCTGAGCGATTATGGCTTTTCTTCTTTTTATTAAGAGGAGGGTTGTTTTTTGTTTTTTAGCATCTGCCTTCTTTTCTGACAGTCATTTTCTAGGTTAAAACAACAGTGATGAAAGGAAAACACTGTCCTATGGATATAGCTAAAGATCTAGACATTATAGTTTCCATTTAGTTAAGTATTCACATCTGCTTGCTTATGTGGTCCTCCTGTTTATCAGGGAATGATAATAGTTATTCAATGCATTTGCAGGGTGGTTTACACTTCCACTGTTATGATCAAATATTTGTTTTAAGTAATTAGTGCCTCCCAAATGAAGAAACCACGAATCAGCAGGTCAATAAATGCAATTCTGACCTATTGCATAGAACAGCTTTACCGAAACCTAAAATACTCTTTCATCATCCGAGCTTCATATGTATTCATTTTATTCTTAATTTCCAGGGAAATTAATGAATACTCTCTATTTAGTCCTAGCATACACATACACAGGGTGGAGCAAAAGTAGGTCTACAGTTGTTCGTATGGAAAATAATACAATAATTAATAAATCACAATCCAAGAATAAACTTTGTGTTTGTTGTACTCACAACTGTAAACCTACCTGTGCCCCTCCCTGCATGTTATATGGCATGTATCTGTTTTTGTTAAAATGGAACATCTCTTAAAAGGCCATTTTAACATGAAGACAAAGTTTTGTAAAGGTGAACAATTCATTTTTATGGAGATCTCTGTCTGTACACTTTGGCTTATCTAAGACTAGTCCCATCAATTCACTTTGAGCTTAGGTGGTAATTGCTTAGCACTAAGGTAAGAAAATAATTTTTAAAGTGTGCTCATTAAAACCAGACTCACAAGTAGGAAATTCTCAAAGCAGGTTGCAGTTAGGTAGGATTATAATGGGGTTGCAGGTTCAGTAAAGCTGATAAAAGTCTATCTATAGTCGAATCCCCTATCGATAAAATTCAAATAATCTGCATATCTATCGCTATGAATGAATATATGCCCATTACTCACTGGAACGAGAGGGGTTGGTTGAAGGACTTGCATTTTTTGCATTCTCAGTGCCTATTATTTTAAGAAAGAAAAAAAACGAGTTACCTTTGGTTAACATGTGTCAATTCTCACAAATCCTCCCTTCCTTCCCTATGACCCCCATTTAAGTAAGCCTCCATGTTCTATAGGTAGGATGTTTCAAATTAATATATTTGGTCTCATTCTGAGAGACCTCTGTTTTGCAAATCAAGATTGGTAGGGAGTTAATGTATATAATTTGATGAGTTTGGACATACATCCATGAAACCATCACCACAATCAAGGTAATAGATATATCCACCACCTCCAACAGTTTCCTTGTGCCCTCCCCTTTTGCAGATATGCATTTTTTGTATATCAGTTATAACAATAAAGTTGTTATAGTTTTTTTAAAAGATTGGAAGGGATTTCTTAGTGAGAAGGAGTTGAGCAAAGGGAGTTTCCTGTCATGCACACAGAAGTCATACCCTGAGATAGTGAGATGTTTTCTGGAATTGTTGTTGATACTGAGGGTACTATTCTGGGTTTAGAAGGTGAGGTATCTGGTTGTGGAGTGCTACCTGTTGAAAAAATCAGAAATCCAGAGTCAGACTATAGTGTTAACTCTTTTTATTGCATTTCTCTTCAGATTCAAACAGTTTGCATTTCTGAAGACCTGTGAAAACTGTTTCTTGTTGAATGATAGGATACACACAATCGTACATTAAATCCTAAGTTCATCTATTCCTCCTGTAACAATGATTAAATGTGGAATCGCAAAACCTGAGTATCAGTATTATATCTTCAAGAACTGCCAAGAAAACGTGAGTGTGTCTCTTATCTCAGACTATAGTCTGTATCACCCGCTGCACAAAATTCTTCTGGGGTAAAAATCTATGCAAAAGCATTATTCAAATTTCAGATATTATAACTTTGGGTGATAGTGAATTTTTTTTCATCACACATACTTAAAATGAACATAAACACACAGGACCTTATTTCTATTCTGTTTTTTAGTGGTTGAAGAGAAAGGTTTCAGTTGAATGGGGAAAAAATAAGAAATTCCTTCATTTTCATCTTTAAAGCTCAGCTGTGGTTTACATTGATGTGGCTTATCTAGAATAACTGCTGCTTGGTTACATTTCTACCATTGTCCGTAATCTTTTCTTCCAAAGAAAATATAAATTAAACATATTATAATTATTTTTGTTTTCTTAAGTCAACATTTGGCATCTTTAGTCAAAAGGACTGAAACAAACAATAAATAAAAATATACCATTCAAAATCCACAAATCTCAATAAATTTCAAAGAAATATAAATAATCAAATGTGTTATAAGTGTATAGCACTTATTCTTGTAAATTTGGGATAAAATGAAATTTGTATTTAGAACATTTTTGAAAAATCATTCTTTTTCTTGTAGTATAAAGTGGTATCTTTTCATCACACCTGTTTGCCTTGTCTCATCATTGAATTGCAAGTTCTTGGAGTGAGGAGGTCACAGCTCCCACCATGCCCCACATGGAGCTCTGACCACAGTGGTGTGCAGTAAAATGTAGCTGACAGCTTGGCTGAACTAAGAGGCATCACTTATAATTATGGTCCCTTCAGGAGTGCTGAGGCCATGTAGAGTTGCCACAAAGAAACTGATATTGCCTATGACTGCCTTGGATCTTTCTTCCGGTGCTATCCACAGCCCAGCACTGCATGCTCATGCATTTTTGACATCTGTGGGGGGAAGAGTAATGTTTAAAGTCTGTACCATTCTTGCCATGCAAGAGATCTGTGGGAGGAAGCTAGATATATGCCCATAAGAACAAAGAAAAGTGTTAGGATAGTGCACTAGGCAGGCAGAAAAAAGAATATTAAATGAGAGTGGGAACTAGCTGAATCCTTGGTAATTTTAGTTGCTTTTTTCAGTGTCAAGGGTTTTAGTAAAAATGAAGGCTCTTTCTATTGTGTTGGTAGAGAATGAGATGGCTGATGAAATAACCAATGGCATTAATCCATCTGGGATTTCCCAAGGGTTAATTTTCAAGACTCTTACCTTATTACCTTTTCATAGACAGGTTAAGTGGCAGCTACAGTTCTAAGTATAGTCTATCCAGTTCAGATGAAACTCTAATTTTCCTATTTAAAATGTGTTGATGATCCAGTGCCAAACGTTACTGATAATAATCTATAGGTAAGCAATAGAATGAACTCTTCTTAAAAGGAGAATTCATGGGACCCTTGGACAAAGACTTTAAATTTTTTCTTTTTGTTTTTCTTTCAACCTCAACCTTCAGTTAATAAATCATTTCTAAATCTAGCACACACACACACACACACACAAACACACACAAATACAATTTACCTCTCTTATATGTAATGCCCTCTGGTGTTTTCTATTCTCTTTTATTTCATTTTTTAAATGCTGGTCATGGGGCACTTATGGGAGTTAACTCACAATTTGAGAAATCCTTTCCATTAACACGATCATATTAATAAAATTATTAATTTTGGTTGAAATGATCACTTGTGAGCCTAATGAAATTCATTCTGTGACTAAGATAGTGGGAACCATGATGTGTTGAGAGCTGATGATCTCTGTGGGTTTTGCTAATACTCTATTATCCTACATTACTACCACAGTAATATTGGCAGAGGAGGTACAAGAGAGGTATAATAGATAGTTAAGGGCATGATTCTGAAGACTGAGTACTGGTTCCAAATTTGACTGTTGCACTTATTTGCTGTGGAATCTTGGGTAAGTCACTTAACATCTTTGTGTCTGAGTTTTCACATCTACAAGTGGTGATTATAATAATTCTACATCATGGTGTGAAAATTAAATGAATAAAAACAATTTAAATTGCTTAGAAGAGTACTTGATACTATTTTTATAGTATATATTATAAAATTTATATATTTAAAATTATATTTTATTAATATACTATATTATTTTATAATATCCAATTATTATGATTAGGCCCCTGGAGAGTTGTACCTTTCAACCAAAGTCAATTTGCCTAAGTTTCTCCAAAATTTTAAGTGTAAAAATATGTGAAATAGACTCTTAAGAAGCCTGTATGTTTTCAGATTCTTCTTTGCTCTGGTCAGGAGTGGGAAAAACTGGAGTGGGCGGTACCCTTAGATGACATGGGTTTACTCTTGAACCCTTACTTTTGGTGATTGTATTGATTATTGAATTTAAGATATGTTGTGTCATAATTTAAATGCAATTTTCAAACATCAGACCAGAACTTGGAGCTGGCTATTTGAGGCAGGGACCCTCAGAACAAAGTCTACTGTAGTAAAGAGACCCTTAGAACCAAGACTGTTGTAATAATATGTATACAAATTTATCCCACTGGTGTCTGACAGTGGTAGATATTTGGCCTTTGCTGTAAACCAATTACTAGATAAATCACTGGGAGTTTTAAAGACAGAAGACCTTGTTGATGTACCAGGGCACCTGAGGTGGCTATGAAAATGCACTTCACAGAAAGGCAACTATAGACAGTATAACTGACCAAAGTTCCCCACCTGCTCTCTAAATCCCATTTCTGTATTTGGACTGATGCCATGCCAATGATTGAGCCTGGCAAGAATATGAAACCAGGTTATTTACGGAAGTCCTGAACTCTTCTGAGAAGGAATTTGGACTGGAAGAGTCCCTGATGATTTTCTGGAACCTTCCTTAGAGGAAGTAAAATAATACATAGTTATTAATGGCAGATCGGTGTGAAACACAATAGAGAAAAAACATTCTAGTCTATAAAAGAAAATAAAACTGTGTTCTATTCTGATTTTCTTTATATTTTCTACACTTTTGGTGGGGATACGTGTACATTCAACTTGTCTAAGGAGCTAAATTCAATTGAATTGAATAATTATTGTTTTCACTTATTTATAAATAATTGGAACTGGTCTATTTGCAGTTTGATGGATTCCTGTTCCATTTTAAAAAATAACTTTTCAGTATTTGAAACTAAATCATTCAATTCTTGAAGATGGTGGCCAACAGGACCTGACAGATGGTGAGAGTGTGAGTGGATGAGTGTGTGTGGGGGGTGAGTGTGGGGGGCATCTGTCAGTGCAGGAATTCCTTGGAGGTGTGGGAGCTGGGGAGCTCATTGCAGAGGAGTTGCAGCTGCTGCAGAGCTGTTCAGCCGGGCGCTTCTCTCAGATTGAGAGGGGAGAGCCGGCCATTTTTGAGGATCCCCAGGGTCTGCCCTGGGAGGAGGCTGTGGGGGGCAACCCGACCCAGCACCCAGAGGCCACTGACTGGCACACTGCCTCCCTGATGTGGCTCCCACAGATGGCCTACTGCTTCCTTGAGTGGTTGCACCTCCCTGATCTGGTGCACAGACCTGGTGGACACAGCTTTCCCTGCCAGAGGCACAACTTGAGGGGGTCTCACTGCTGGCCGGCCTGCCTGCCTATTTGCCTGTCTCTATGACAGGGTGGCATGGCTGGTCTGCCTGTGTGCCTGCCGCCATGATAGGGTGGCCCAGCTGACCTGCCTGCTTCCCGGCCAGCAGCGCCTCCTTGATGGGGTGCTTACAGTCAGAGAGCCAGCCTGCCTGCCTGCCTCTTTAATAGGGACACAGGGTTCTCTGCCTACCTCCTTGACAAGGGTGCACAGCCAACCTGACTGCCTGCCTCCTGGCCAGCGGTGCCTTCCTGACCTGGCACACAAGGCCTGCCTGCCTGGCCTGCCTCCTTAATGAGGTACACCCTGCCTGCCTGCCTGCCTGCTGTGCCTCCTTGATGTGGTGTGAGGCATGCCTGCCTGCCTACCTGGCCTACAGCCTTGATGTACTGCACCTGGACCTGCCATCATGACACAACACCTACTAAACACATAGACCTGCCATCAGGACCTGACTGATGGGGCCCTGGGACTACTAGAAACAAGCCCTGATCACCCCCTGCAGCCTTGACCTGGTACCCTGGGACAGAGCACACAACAAAATGGAGAGACAAAGAAACAACACTCAAATGAAAGAGAAGAAATTGCCAGAAAAAGAACTAGATAAAATAGAGGCAAGCAATCTATCAGATATAGAGTTGAAAATAATGGTTAGAAGGATGCTCAAGCAACTTAATGAGAACTTCAAAAGCCTTCATAAGAATCAATAGGAAATAAAGAATGATATAGCTGAAATAAAGAATACACTAGAAGGAATCAATAGTAGATTAGAAGCTGAAGACAGAATCAGCAAATTAGAGGACAGGGTAGAAGAAAACACCCAGTCAGAGCAGCAATTAGAAAAAAGCAAAAAAAAAAAAAAGCAGGAATACAGTTTAAAGGAACTTTGGGACAATATGAAACATAACAATATCCAAACCATAGGGGTGCCAGAAGAAGAAGAATCCAAGCAAGGATTAGAGAATTTGTTTGAAGTAATAATGACAGAAAACTTCTCTAACCTGGTGAAGGAAAAAGTCACTCAAGTTCAAGAATCACAGAGAGTCTCAATAAAAATGAGCCCCAAAAGACCCACATCTAGACACATCGTAATTAAAATGGCAAACATTAAAGATAAAGAAAGAATCTTAAAAGCAGCAAGAGAGAGACAGAAAGTTACCTACA